TTGTGATACCTGTGAGGCAGTGGTATCGAGATTGCAAGGGCCTTTATCTGTACTGATCTGAAGTATATATGTGGAGCTTGGGAGGCTTAAAATATGGTAGCAAGGAATATCAATAATTTAATTAAGAAATTGCAAGATTGAAAAGTAGTCCCAAGCTAGTCTATGTCGCTGGCCTAAACTCGTCCTGGACCTAGTTCAAGCAAGCAATACAACACAACTCAGTACAAGGACTCAAAAGGATGCAAGCACTTCTGATTTTTTTCTTGATGCGTCTTTTTTTTGCACCTTCTGCCTTTTGTTCTTCTCTGATTTTTTGTGTGTCTCTCTTTTTTTTTGCACTTTGCCTTTTGCTATTATTATTATTTTTTTCAATGAGAAAGTGCCGCAATATATGAGCTGATAAGATAGATGATTAGCACTAGGAACCGTGGCACAGAGAAAAAAAGGACAAATAGCAGCAGCAGATTGGCACTACCCTCTCAAGTTTTGTTGTCGCAAGCTAGACACAAAGCGCAAGATGCTTGAGCAGAAAAATATGGTGTATAGTGCAGGAAACAAGCGGACTAAAGATTGGATTTATTTCTTGTTTGTCTCCCGCACGACCAATCAAAGATGGAATATTTTACTCATATAAACTGAAACATGCCTTTCCTTCCTTCCCTTCACCGTGAAGCTACTTTGCTCTAGACAAGGAAAAACGACCTAGTGCAAAATACCAATCGGGGAGGGATATAGGAACTGACCATTGGCGGCCAACTTTAGGTGCTCGAATAGACTCAAACAAGACCAACGACTCGATTAAACACAGCAACACGATGACCTACTAGGGACAATAGTTCAATAAAGTAAACTGAAATTAAAAATATTACAACGGCGCAACGGGTGATAGGATAGGGAGAAAACAAAGATTAACACAAATATTTTTGTGGGGCAATTTTCTGGATTTATAGGACAAAGATAAAACAAAACTAGGGTAATGATAAACCTGACGGTAATACCTGAAGCTCTGATACCACTTAACGAAGACGGGGATCCCGATCTTCCATCAGGTGATGGTAACTATCGTTGTGGCGAAGAATGACACACCGATCCGGCTTCAGATCGAAAGATCGAACCCGGCAATCTTAGCACCATAGCTCCTCTGGTTATCAACCAAGTCACGGACCAGGTTGACCTCGCCAAGAAGGCTAATCCTTGCCTGCGCAACGAAGAACACAAGCAAGAACAAGAAAGAACACAACCAAATTGCAGATGAATGATTATCTCTCGAAGTTGGGGTCTCACCAACCGATGAACGGCGAAACTGTTCTTGACAGAATAATCTAAGGAAAACCCAAAACCTAACGACGGTGGCGGCGTATGATTATAAAGGTCTTAGGGTCGTCGCCTACCCTAGACGCGCCCCCTAATGGGCCCAAACATGATACACGGTCCGACGGACCAAAAGATGGTGTCGCAGCACCCTGACAGATTCTAGACGCTGATTTGTTTCGACGATTCCCGTTGATTCAGAAGAGCTTTTGATGTGAGACCACTTGGGTTGGCTTTCTTATCAAATTAGCTTTCCATCCATATGTGGATAATCGAAAACGGAGTCCGGATGCGTCCTGGGTGACCAGTTTAAGGTAGACTGGTCTTAGAGGCCGATGCAGACTCGAAATTATGTTGGACTGGGCCTCCGGTTTCTGTTGGACGTCCTTGCTGGTCATCATCGCCTCCAACTCTTCCTCTATGTACCTCATGACACTCTCCAATGTTCCTAATTAATATAACATCATTAGGTAGCAATCTATTCTCAAAAGTATGAAAGGGATCACTTAAGAACGAGCTCACCTCTAAATTAAGTTGTCGCCGATGGTGGAGCAGCACCCTGACAGATTCTGGATGTCCACTTGTTTCGATGATTTCCGTTGACTCCGATCGAATTTTAAGGTGGGACTGGTGCCATTGGAATCTCCATGAAATTATCTTTCCATACATATAAAGAACGCCCAAAACGGACACCGTATGCGACCTGGGCATCATTTTTAGTATGTGCTGCTCCTGGACTCCGAGACGGCCTCGAACTTTAGTTGCTTTGGGCCTCCACCTCGGAGACTCGAACCGAATTAGCCTCGGGCCTCCTTCTTGACTTGCACACCCTTGCTGGCCTCCTAATCCTCCACACCATGCGCCAAACATGGTCATATGCATGGGTGTCGTGTCCTCATCACTGGGACTTAGCCAAGTAAGGCTTGCTAGAAGGATGCAAGGGGCTCAAGATAAAATTTGAAAATTCTTCGACTTAGGAGAAGTGTAGTCACTTAGACTCCATCAATACGGAGGGTAAATCAAGAAATAAGCACTACATTCACCACCAGGTGAAGTATAGCCACTTAGTCCCCGAGCCTGCTGGAAGATGAAGAATGAATCTTGTAGCAGGGTCAAAGAAAAGAAGTCCGAAAGCTTGCCAACGTCATCTGACATGCGCGTATCAAGACCCTAGACGTGCTGCCCAAGATCAGCACCTTGATCCGAACAACATGGAGCAACTTGATAGCACACCGATGAGACGTAGCAAGATCCGACCACGAAGGGAGTCCTCAGCTTAGCTGGCATGTCCGAGCACCGAGGAGTCTCCGGCGTAGCTGGCGATGTCCGAGCACCGAGGAGTCCCCGGCGTAGCTGGCGATGTCCGAGCACCGAGGAGTCCCCATGTAGCCGGCGATGTCCGAGCACCGAGGAGTCCTCGGCGTAGCCGGCGATGTCCGAGCACCGAGGAGTCCTCGGTGTAGCCGGCGATGTCCGAGCACCAAGGAGTCCTCGATGTAGTTGGTGATGAAGCACGAGTGATGAATAGTCCGGTCAACTGGTCAGTGGCGAAGTGAGCATTGAGTAGAAGCGACCGGCGAACAGTTCGATCAACTGGTCGACGACGAAGTCCATGAACCTAGCGGTCCGACCAGATGATCGGTGGAGAAGTCCGAGCATCAGGTGGTCCGATCACCTAGACGATGATTCTGCAATACAAATATGTAGAACGGGTAGTACATGATGTAAAAATATATGAACTCCAGAGAAAAAATTAGCAATGGTGATGAAATAGCGTATGCTGCTCGGCGATCAGTTGGTGTGAAGATATATTTATATTTAATATAAACCGTCCGACCAGTTAGTGTGTAGTCGAGTCTCCAGCCCTAGCTAGCCTGTTAACCATAACGCGGAGCGCGGAGCCCGTGTGCGTGTAGGAAGAACAAAGCATCGCTAAGGAGCCACTGTTGACCACCCATAACGCAGTGGGAAGACGCTCGTGCACGTGTAGAGAGGAGCCGGAGACAGAGCCATCTCTGGGGACATCCGAGCGTCAACATGACTGTTCGGGGGTTCAAAAAATCATTTGGAGAGCAAACATGGAGAAAACAACTCGGAGAAACATTATGGCGATATACGGTGATTGAAGAATATTTAGAAAAACATTAAAGCGTGCTTAGCTTTAGACAGAATGTTTGGTCGGCGGCGTATGTCGTTATCTGGTCGGCGACGTGGGCAGCTCGCTTAGCGGCTCGCTTGATGGCTGGAACGAAGTTGATCTCGTGTTAGGAGTAGGACGGACGTAGTCGGAGCTTGGCGGTGTTAATCCGCGTATGAAGATGTGCGCCGAGGTTGTCGAAGGATGTCGACACGATCAGCCGAGTTGCCGCGAAGGATGTTGATCTTGAGTTACGCCATCTAGTTGGCCAGGGATCAGCTTGCACGAGCCCCACGATGGGCACCAATTGTCGACAAAAGATGCTCGGCAGTCCTCCGAGGGGTATACCATGAAGGTAGATTGATCGGTGGAGGTGCGTGTAATCAGGAACCGGATGGTGACACAAGGCGTAGAGACAGCGATTTAGACAGGTTCGGGCCGTCTGATCGACGTAATACCCTACGTCCTGTGTGTTTGGTGTATTGTATTGAATATGAGATGTATGTAGATCTATGGAGATGTCGACTAAGGGACCCTTGCCTCTCCTTATATACTCTGGAGGGGTAGGGTTACAAGGAAAGTATCCTATTTGGTACTATACAATATCTTGCAGTGCACGTCGTCCAGTGCCGTGCACGCCTTGATCTTGTGGGCTGGGCCACCTCTGATGGTGTAGCCCATGTGGTCTGCCGTGGGTATCCAGGGCCGTACCCCCCACAGGTGTGCAAACCTCACTAACTACTAAGCCTAAGCCTAAAGCAAGCGCATAAGTGGTGGTCTAATCTACCTAAGCACTTCACAAAACACCTACGCTAATCACCTAGTATATCACTAAGCACTTTGGTGGCTAGAGCAACTAAATATGAGCCTCAACTCATACAAGTCTTCCTTGAGCTCCAACAACACTCATTTGGCTGGTTGGGGTCATATTTATAGCCTCCAAGTCAACATAGCCGTTGGTCCCTTGGTTGTGCAAAACTACACACTGTTGGACCGAACTGGCTAGACCGTTAGGACCATTTCCACTACACCATAACATTACAATAGCATCAAACATCTGTTGCTAAAAGTTGACAATTACCGTTGAACGGTGAGTCGCTAAAGGTTTTTCTCGGACCATCAGTTGCTAATATCAAATACTGCGATGGATAGTCCGTTGCTATAAATATTTTACTTTTACGTTGAATCGTCAGTTGCTATATATTACTAACCAAGTCAAACCGTCCATCGCTAGGATTGGCACGATGTTTTCGGCCCGCTCGCCCAAAACTGTGGCCCAAAACTCACTTCTAAACCTGAAGTCACCCCCGGCCTGGAAACCTCACTCCAGCTCCCCACCCACAAGCCGCCTCCACCGCTGTCGCCCACCCATCTGCGTGACGCCCGCCGCCGTCATCGCCCGCTTGACGCCCCCCGGTGCCCCACCGCCTGGCCGTCGGAAATCTGCTGCCTCCACCCCGGCGCACGGGCCAGACGCCCGCCGCTGCCACCTTGGCGTCTTGGCACCTACGCTGGCCGACCGCCGCTGGCACCCACCACCCGACGTAGCTCCATGGTCGTGGCCGTCGAGTCGGTCGACAAGCTCGAGGCAGAGGACGTGTGGTGCGGGGCGCAGTGGGAGGCGGCGTGGCCAGGGCGGCGGGACCCGAAACCCATCGTGCTCGGGGGTGGAGACGACGCGGTGGGGAGGTCCAAGAGCCTCACGGACGACAACCTAGAGGAGCTCAAGGGATGCGTTGACCTGGGCTTCGGCTTCAGCTGCGACGAGATCCCCGAGCTCTGGAGCACGCTCCCGGCGCTCGAGCACTGCTACTCCATGACCCAGCGCCTCCAACCGGCCGCCGCCGCCACCCCGCCACCTAGGCTCCCGAGTGGTAGATCCAGGTTCCCCTCCTGGAGACCCCCTTCTCTATCCCCTCATTTGCATCGTCTCCTTCTTTCCCTTCCCTTCTTGACTTGATTCGTTGATTCGAGTGTAGGATGTGCCGCCTCGATCTTCTCTGGGTCTGATGCGAGCATTGGATGGGAGCGGAAGCCGAGGGTAATCCCCCACCACAGCACGCCGCCGGCGAGCCCGCGACCACGGCAAGGGCGCAACCCATCTCCCCAGCACAGTTCGCCAGTTCCTCTCCTAGAAGCAGTGCAAGGTCCTTCCTTTCTCCCTTCCCACACTAAAATTCCTGAACCGTTTGCTCATTTTTATCCATGCATGTGCTCATTCAGTTGAATCAGTTCTTAGGATGGGGGAGAAATTCATTAGATCTGTGAGATAGACAGCCACTAATTTGAGCATGAATGACGAATTGAAGAAGCTGGAACTCAACATTAATTCACTTCGCTAGGTACTAGGGAAGTGTCTAATAAAGAAAGCAATTTGATCTCTAATGGTTAGAGTTCTAAAAATTCTCTGCAATCAATATGTAAGTTTTTTGACAGATATATTCAGAGAGGATGCATCTTATGACATCATATGAAATTTTAGTACTCTCGCGCTAACAGATGGAATTTTAGTACTGCAAGATGGAAATTCAAAGTAGCTGATCGTCAGCCAGGTGTTTCAGTTAGAGAAGCGATGCATCATATGATTCATGTAGAAGGAAAAACGAAGATAACTTCGACTTTTTGACAGGCCACATCACAGCCAGAGACGGTGACTGATAAGACACCAAAGAACAATCGCACGTTCAGTCTTAAAATAACAGATTAAATAAACGCACTTCTCGAGGAGAAGATTTTCCTTTCCAAGTGCAAACTGATGCTTCTTAGACTATTGCATAAAAATGGTCTAGGAATTTTCATGATTTAGTTCAAAAGTTGTACTTAATTATACAGATTTGATGCTGAAACTACTTTCGAACACTAAGCAACACATGCTAAAAAGAAATTGACACATAATTTCTCATTTAGTTTCTATCTATTTTGGTTGTGTAGGTGCTCTTCCTATCCATGTAGTGGGTCCTTGGCTTCTATAGTTGCACATTTCAGAAGGTGTACAACACCTCAATATAGTACAGTTCAGTGATTTCAGTCAGCACGAGAGGATGGTTATCTACTCAATACTCACAGTTATGTACTACTTCAGTAGTTAGAATCATCCATGGAAGTAGCTTTATGTGTTCAATGGAGCCCAAAAGGTTAGTTAATTCCCTTCCTATTTCCGTTACATCTGTACATTTTCTCACTCTACTGGTGAAATGAAGTGATTATCCAAGTGCAAATGCTCTCCTATTTTTCATTCCATATACAGTATGAGACCTGAGTTTGATATTTTTATTCTTAGCAGCTTCTGATCACCTGGATCCCTGATAGATGATAGCTCTGACCATACCTTAATTCTGTAATGCTAATATATTTCTGTCCTAACATGATATTTGTGAACTGTATTCTATCTATACGTTTATTATCTTCAAACTGTATATGCACTTCCTGGAATTGTGCATCATCTCTTTCTGGAGGTATTTGAATGTGATGGTCATTGAGATGCGACTGCCTTGCTACTAAATCCTTGAAATTGTGCATCATCTCATTTTGGAAGTATTTGAATCTGATGGTTCAAGTGGCTCGGTTAATTAAGTTATACATGATTAAGAGGGGTCGTCGGTTCCGTTGGAATAGGTGTAAGGCATTCAAATGACAAAATCTAGGCAGAATCCTAACATGATACTTCTTCCTTTTTGTTTCATTCTCCCTGATTTTCAATTAATTTGTCCTTTCTGAAGATGATTTCATCTTCCTGATAAATGAATTCCACCTATTAAATTCAACTCGCGCTGGTAATTCATATGCAGTATGTTCCTAGCATATTCAGGTTAGCAAATGCTTATTCAGTAATCACTACTAGTGTTCAGCAGTTGTACAGTGTGTTTCACCGCATAATTTGAAATTGATCAGCATCTGAATATGAAATTGACCTTTTGAATCAGCCATGCTTCACTGCATATATTCTTTGAAATCTGGTGCTTAATCGCCTTAGGATTGGAGTGGGGTTGGAGCAGCATCTTGTTCCATTATCAGGCCTCGCTATTTGCAAACATGTTCAAGCAAGTACTGATCTAATTTAATTTAGTTTCAGGGCAGAAAATTGGTAGCTGTGGGCACCTTGTAGCAAGTGTTGTTTTCCATCTCATCATTTGATCAGGTAACCACTTAATTGACTTGGAGGTACGTCTGGCGGGCGCCGAGAGCGGAAGATCCCCGCCGCACCCAACTTCAGGTCGTTGTGAGCACCTTACTCACTCTATCATCTCCTTCTCTCCTCTGTCCCTTTCCCTCATTATCTCCCTCTCCCAGATCTACATCCTCCATGAAGCAGCAAGTGAAGTTGGGGTGAAGGCGACAAAGCTGTGCGTGGTTGGTGGCGAGCCATGATGGATTTAGTGTTCGGCAGATCACAACCGGTAATAAGACGATCTCCTGCACTCTCCTCTGTCTAGACTGTGACAGCAAGAGACATTGGTTTTAGATAATTCACCCTACGAGTATGCTAGCTCTGATTTTAGATAACTTCACAACAGGAACATCCACTTGCATTGACTACTGGAAATTGATTATTTTTGTTGTTATCAGTGGACAAGAAGTGATTTGATCTTAGATATATTCTATTTGTATGTACAGGACAACACCTCCAATGACTCTGTATTTTCCTAGCAGAAACACAATTAAGATATGCATCTGAATGTTTATTTAGCTACAGATTTATGAATGTTTATTTAGCTTAAACAATTACTCCATATAGCATTACAATGTCTGTTTATGTCTTGCAATTACAATTTTTTTGGTTTGATGTGAGAATCAGAAAGCATTATTTCATTTTCTTTTGGCAAACGATGGCTGAAAGATAAGCTGGAACTGAAGTAATACTAGGAATAATATTAATTACTTGTTTTGCGCTGCTGCATACATCTTCAAATAGTAGGAACTGTAATCCATAAGAGAGAAGCACAAGCTCCCTAGTATGAGGGCCGTTTTGATCAGCAGCTTTATATAGACAACGGCATGCTTCTATTTTATTTGGTTAAACAATTCAGAATACATGCAGTAATACATGTAGTTGACCATAGAGTATGCGTTGAGCAGGAAACTGTGGAGCTGCTCACAACCTCCACAATTACTTGACTGGTAGCTGTGATTCAAAATAATTGCATGAATGTGCCTGTAATAATTGCATGATTCAAAATCTACACAAGAACGTTTTTTGCCTAGTTCTAAGATTGCTAATGCAGTTCCACTCTGATAATCTTGTACCCTATGCATGTTGTAGGCAATCAAGATCTTCTCAAGGTGTTCCTGGAATTTCTCAGAGGCGATATTCTCAAGGTGTTGCAGAATCTTCTTGGAGGCAAATCTTCTCAATTGTAAGATCTTCTCAGAGCAGTGGCGGAGCCAGGATTCCAAACTTGGGTATTCCTACTTCCACGTCAATAAAAAAAATAAGTTGTTTTTAACTGCAATGAGTGAAAATACTACAAAATATGAGCCAATTTGAGAGGCTGTTTTTTTACTGTTTTGGGCTTCAATGAGTGAAAATACTACAAAATATGGCATTATATATATACATATACAAGTATATACACATATATACATAGAAGTGTGCTAAAATAGTTGGGTATTCCTGGGAATACGGGGAATACCCTCTGTATCCGCCCATGTCTCAGAGGTGCTAAGCATCAAGCTTGTAGCAAACTTGTGGACATGAACCCAACTAAGTACTGATGGTCGTGTATTTTGAGCTTTTACCTAATTTTTTATGGCTTCCATGGACAACAAGTGCTAGTTTGTTTTTGTTCATCAGTTGTATATATATATATGTTGAGACAAGGATAGCTTGATTTAAGTGACATGATTGCATATGTACTTGAGTTTGACAATTGAATGAGTATGTCTAATGTGATCATTTGTGTATGTCATCATAAATCATTTCAATATTGCATTGATCTGAAACGTTTGATCCAATGTACATAAGTTTTAGATATACAAGGTTTTATTTTTTTACCTATTTAATTGAGCTCAATGGATTGTTAGTCGCTAAAAGTTCTTATTGCGATGAACTGTCGGTCGCTAAAAGCTCTAACATGTTGTTGGTTGCTAAAAGTTGGACCGTCGAACTGTTGGTCGCTAAAGATCATGTCCGTCGCTGTTTACATATAATGACGGCTTCATTAGCAACTGCAGGGGTCCGTCGCTATAACAGTTAGCAACTGACTGTCCGTCGCTTAACACCCCTTTCAACAACTCTAAGTCAGTCGTTGTTTTAGGGTTGTGGTGTAGTGTTCTGACATGGTTCGATGCCCCAATGGTCACCTACTGAATTCAACCGTTGAGCTGACCGTTGCCGCGCTGCTATGACGGACATGTGGGCCAGTGACTCGGATGGTCCGACGCCCTGCTCCGAACTCGGTCTGACTCCCAAATTCCTCTCGCGATGCTTGCTAGAACCCGTCGGACTACACCTCAATTGGTCCGATGATGCCTACTGTAGCAGGGTCCGATGCCTTCATCTTCTCTCTGCTCCATGAACAGTATCTCTGTTCGGTCCGATGCCTACTTCTCTCTGGGTCCGACGCTCCCGCGATTGCCCTAGCTAGGGTTTGCTGAGAGTCAGATGGCCCGACGCCCTGCTGAACCTCCTTATCCTTTGTTCCTTCACGATCCTAACACCCGGCTTGGTTCCAACTTGTGCCTTGGACTTTTGCTTGATCTTTTATGTCTTCAACACAACTTCAAATGTCTTGCTTGAGGTGTTGATCATCTGGATCATCACGTCGCCTAAGTCCAAGCCACTTTTCCATCCTATTGAACTACAAAACAAAACACTTGCAAATTCATTAGTCCAACTTGGTCATGTTGATCATCAAACACCAAAATCTAAACTAAATGGCCAAGGGTCCATTTTCCTTACTTGCTCCATAGTTGATTTACTATCTTCAACACTAAATTTATAAAAATCAGGTATCCTCCAACCATCAGGAGCTTTTAAGAAATCAAAGTGCACAGGTTTCGACTTATGATATGTGTTCCTGCTAGGCTTAATTTGCACACCAAGATATTCTCAATAGACTTGGACAATTCATCCTTGAATCGATTCAAAAGATTCGTTAAAATCGGTAGAAGAAGGGGTAGTGGGGTGCGCCGCCAAGCATAGGAATCATGCTTAGGGACTTTGGTGGGTTAGGCAAAACCATATTGTACCCCAATGAAAGGGTGATTCACTGCTGGTCCTTTATTGGTTCGTGCGTTATGAGCCAAATTCGGAGCAAAAGTGACCATTGGCAAAGTTATGCTAACCCTAGCTAAATTGGCCTTACTGGTTTCAATTGCCAAAGTGGCCAATTTGGCTTGGTTAGCTGCTGTGTATAAACTCTGATTCTCATAAAAATTATAAGGCATGCCATATTGAGGTTGTTTAGAAGCCGATTCACTAGTAGATGCATCAACATAATTGACTTTCTTACCCTTTAGTCTATCAAAGGGAGACATGACCATGTTAACAATAGTCATAAGATTGTTTTCGGTTATATATTTTCATTATCATGTAGCATCTTAGCATAATCGACATGAGTATAGTTAGGATCTTCAACCTCTTCATTAGTTTTTACCTCAGGTGCAGCGGACGTAGATGCAGAGGGCTCGCCAAAGACGGACTCTCGGTATTGAGTAATGTTGCCCGGCCCATGTTTGGAGCAGCCTGCAAGGAACGCCTCTAGATCGCCAACAAGCTTGACTTGTATCTTTTGGCGAAGATCATCGAGAAGCTTCTCGATCGACAATGGCGAGGTAATGTTGACCGGATTCATTGGATCGGTCAAATAATCCGTCTTCTTGCTGTTGTTGTCTGACATGTTGCTAGTAGATCTATTCTTCTTTTTTTTCCTAGCGAAGTCGCCAAAAAAAAATGTGTTGACGCCGAATTGGGTCACACACCAGCAAGGACTAGCACGCCTGAGGTCGCACATGAGCAAGAACATGGTAAAACGAGCGAGACTGACCAGCGAGTCGGTCAAGCCGATTCGTCACCCGTTCTTCACATGGTAGACTTCTGAACACCTCTCAGGAAGACCTGTAGGTGAAGGGCACAACGAGGTTGCTCTAAGATCGGCAAGGCCACCTAGAATGCCGCCCAACAAGGGTTGGAAAAGTTAGGGTAAAAGGAGCATAGTATATATATATATATATATATATATATATATATATATATATATATATATATATATATATATATATATATATATATATATAGGGTAAGTCTATTCTGCAGCTGGCTATAGAATAACTTATTCTATAACCACCTTGATTTACGATAATGTTTGTATCAATTTACGATAACATGAATATGCATTTACGATAGTCGTGTTACTATAACTCACGGTGATATTTACGATAATGTTATAATAAATCACTTAGTAAGGAGTTACTGTAATCTCGTAAATTAGCATAGTAATTATCGTAACTCAAAGTGGCCACATAATAAGTTATTCTATGGCCAGCTGCAGAATAGTAGACAGCTACAAAATAAGTTATTCTGTAGCCACCTCCATTTACGATAATTTTATATACTAATTTACGATAATGTCAATACATATTTATGATAGTTGGGTTACTATAACACATGGGGATATTTACCATAACGTTATAGTAATCCACTTAGTAAGGAGTTACTATAATCTTGTAAATTAACATAGTAATTATCGTAACTCAAAGTGGCTACATAATAAGTTATTTTGTAGCCAGCTACATGGTAGTTCTATATATATATATATATATATATATATATATATATATATATATATATATGTATGTATATATATATATATATATATATGGGATGCTCTTGTCCCGGAAGAAAACATCTCCAAGACGCAATTTTCAAGTTCGCACAGCCAAAAATAGATTAAAACCAAGCTGGAAACGAACTGAAGGGATGCTCTTGTCCCGGAAGAAAACATCTCCAAGACGCAATTTTCAAGTTCGCACAGCCAAAAATAGATTAAAACCAAGCTGGAAACGAACTGAACTCGTAACAGTAAAACCGACCTGACCGGTTCTGAAAACCGGCTTAGCGGGTTTTCTTGGGGCTGCAGGGTGCCCATTTGGGAATCCAGCTAGACCGGTTTTGGCAGATTAAGCTCAGACTGTCTTTTCTTCGTTTGAGCTCCAAACTTAATGTCCTAAATATATTTCTTCAACATCTTGACGCCAGAAATTTGATTGTAGAGTCTATTATTCTTGTCGGCATATTTTTGCTGCCAACAGGTACTTTATTTGGTAGTTGGTGAGGGCCGGAGAGGGCAGCCGGCGAGCTTTTTATTTTATACGAAATTGGTAGTTGACGAGGCGCCGGAAGGTGCAACCAGCTTACCAGCCCCATTTTTTATTACGCAGCTGTTTATATATCAAAATAGGGCATCGGTTTATATTATATATGGAGCAGATGACACCAGTTGTCTGTCGTTTCTTCGGTGACTAGCTCGTCGATCCCTCTATATAAGTCACATGTGTTGACATACTAACAGCTGCAAAACCTTCAGTTTAGAGGGAGTTTAGGAAACATATGTGGGATTGCGGTCCATGCACATTGATGCTTTCTCTTCCTCGTCATTGCTTCACATCATCATCCCGCTCTGAGAGGAGAGCGCTCCTTTCAATCGATTGAAGAAGGTACGTACGTATAAAGTTCTATAGTAGTTTTCTCTTTATTTTCTTATGGGAATTTTTATTTCAGTATAGTATCAATAGAGTCTCTCCGTCAACAGGCATATCACCTACCAATAATGAATAGAATAATTTAATTACTACAATATTTTTTTGAAATTTTTTTAGCACGTCCATGTTAAGTCTAGGACTTTGGATTGTAAACCACAATCCATCTAAGAAACTGGTCTACGCTCTCTACTCTTCTAAATATGTAGATAGATATAGTAATTTTATAGCATCTACAGTATATATAATTAGATGAACTAGTAGAAATATAAAAATCACAAGCTGCATGAAACCATTGCTTTGCAAAGCACATCCTCTTTCTTATGTAGCACCATGGGTCTTAGATGATAATTCCAACGAATTTTAATTTCATTTTCTTGCAGCTACATATCCTATTGCCAAGCTGGTTGTAGTTGGCTCCATGGATCTGACAAATATTGCCACATGGGTTACTACCGTAGTTGTTATTTTCATCACCGCAGTAGTGACCAAGATTATTGTAACTGGAAGAAGGGCTACGTTTCAGGCAGTATGTAGTAGGGCACACCCACCTGTTGTGAATGGTCCTTCTCTCATAAAACTTGTGCATGTGGTCCTTACCAAGGGTCTGCGAGAAATGATCCGTGACCAATATCGAGCGTTGGGGAGTGTGTTCACCTTAAGTTTCTTTGGAGTGAAGATAACATTCTTAGTCGGGCCTGAGGTCTTGGATCATTTCTATCAAGGGCTAGAGTCAGAGATTAGTCATGGTAATACGCTTGAGTTCATGGTGCCCATGCTTGGCAAAGAGGTTGGCTTTGGTGTAGATGTCGCCACCCGCAATGAGCAGATGCGGTTCCACAATGATGCACTGAAACTGTCAAAGTTGCGAAGTCACACGGATCCCATGCTTCAAGAAGTAGAGGTCAGTATCAAAATGTTAAATAACAATAATGCCCCTCTATATATTTTGACTCGGTACATATATGTTTGTTGCTACTTAGATGAATGAAAGAGGCATTCATTAATTTAAACACTCACGACAGTATTGTTATATGTATTTTTGAATGAACAGGACTACTTCACAAGATGGGGCCAGCACGGTACAGTTGATTTAAAACATGAGTTTGAGCAGCTACTCATGTTAATCTCGAGCCGATGCTTACTTGGGAGGGAGATTCGGGAGAACATGTTCGATGAGGTTCACACGTTGTTTCGTGAACTCAACGGCGGCATGAGTCTAGCCAGCGTCTTGTTCCCTTACGCCCCAACTCCGACGAACCGCAGGCGTGACCGAGCACGGGCCAAACTCTCCAAGCTATTTACTGAGATCGTGAGATCACGCAAGAGCTCCAACCGGACTGAAGGGGATGTTCTACAGAATTTGATAGATTCCGAGTACAAGGACGGCCGCCCCACAACTGAAGCGGAGGTCACTGGTCTGGTCATCATGTTGCTCTTCGGCGGGAAGCACACCAGCTCCGTCACTAGTACCTGGACCGGAGCCTGCCTGCTCACCCATGAAAAATGGCTGGCTGCTGTCATTGAGGAGCAAAAGGAGATAGCTAGGGTATATGGTGACCGGATAGACTACAACGCGCTGCTACAGATGGATACCCTGCACCGTTGCATCAAGGAAGTCCTGCGTATGCACCCTTTGGTACCAGTGTTTTTCCGCAAGGTACACAAGAGCTTCACGCTACGGACCAAAGACGGCGCTGAGTATGAGATTCCGAGAGGGCATACCCTCGCAAGCCCTGCATTGTTCAACAACTACCTGCCATACATCTACAAGGACCCTGGTGTGTATGACCCGGACAGGTTTAGTCTTGAAAGAGAGGAAGATAAAGTTGGTGGCAAGTTCTCATTCACGGCGTTTGGTGGTGGAAGGCATAGCTGTGTCGGCGAAGCATATGCGTACATGCAAATTAAGGTGATATGGAGCTATTTGCTCAGAAATTTTGAGCTCAACCTGGAGTCCCCATTCCCTGAGACAGACTGGAGCAAGCTAGTGCCATCGCCCAAAGGAAAAGTAATGGTGACGTATAGGAGGCGGGTGGCTGCCTAGCTAGCGCTAGTACCTCGCGTTGCATTATTGGAAATGCATGCATGCGTAGCTTCCTTTGCTTCTGTACCATATATATTTGTATCTGTCCATGTCCATATGGAGGGATATACATACAAATAGTACGTAGTCATGTGTGCAAATGTAATATGTTCTGGCTCATTAAGTGTTATATATATATATATATGCTTTTGGCCTGTGCCTCAATTATTAAGTGTTCTATAATACAATAATGTGTTAAAATTGTTCACATCTTCGTACTATAAATAGACGACGGTCAAAGTTACATTCATCATCTAATCCGATATATAGAATTCCCTTCTTTATGGAACTAGCTAGATTCCATATCAGTTCTATGCAGCATATTGTTATCAATTGTATATCTTGATTTGATTCCTATTTGATTTGGATTAGTTAGATTTCAATAGGGCTTCTTCCTTTATTTCGTCTTTTATTATGTTAGATGAAGGGGGAAAAATGGGAAATCAAAGATATCGAAGATGCATATGTACCAGGATTGGAAGCTAGTCGGAATGGTACACTTCTTTAAGAAAACCTATGGCTAAGAGCCTAGATATCTCTTCTCCTGGAGCCTCATGCCTATCCCGATCGAAGTGGCAACACCTCTACCGCTTGACTGGTTTAGCATCTCCAGCCTTACATTTAGAGAGTGCTTGATCACCTCCGTTAGGACACCCGTCATGTTAGTGTGCTTAGATGCGAAGATGTCCTTAATTGTTCTCTTGGAGGAAGGTGTCGAGAGCTTCCTGTTTGTCGCCAAGCCCATTCCCAACCAAGGCCCTTCGGGTGGAGTCTCCTAGGTTCATTATCGCTTCTTGGTCTCCTTAGCTAGCTTGAATGCTAAGGACACTATAGAGTTCTTGGTGAGGATCTCGTCCTTGGTCCAGACCTTGGTCCAACTCAGCATGGCCACAACTTGGGCCAGTGCGAACTGACAGTCACAACTCTACCTGTCGTAGTCGTAAGCATATTGGTACATGTCGTAGTCGTAAGCCTATTGGTGGTTGCAATGAAACATGAGTACCCCATTAAGGCTTGACATATTCAGCTTTAGGCATGTATAGTTTGGGATTGCCA